GTCGGGAGAAAAAAAGTAGATTATGATTAAAATTATACTATCACACTATCACTACCTACACATGTAGGTATAATCACTGTAATCCGACATGATCGACAAATCACATCATTCTCGTCGGCCATGTAGACCGACGCATTCTTCAACCGTGGAGTATCTCCATCGACCCGAGCGGATGGGATACTTCAATCATCCACGGGTTTGGGTCTGATTGCATCATCACAGCGGACTCCATATCCCGCGGAGACCCTTGCATATCGAGAACATGGTCTCGGTCGCGTGGAACGCCAGGGAGTACCATGTGTCCCATGAGATCGGGGAATTGACATCCGCGAAATCCCCAATAGGGTTCTCTGTACAACGTAGATTCCCAAGATCCGTAGATACCTTTCTGGAATCCCGACTGGTTTCAATCGGCAAAGAAAGGGCAGATTCTGGAAAATAGTCCCGGTCGGCGGTTTAAAGTAACCGGATTGGTTGAGAGTTGAGAGGAAATGCACAAGGCAGCGACTGTCGCCACCATGGCCCCAAAGGATCTCCCTCATGAAGTCAGTGACCGGCGCCGAGACTGAGTCGCAGTAGTGCAGCCGGCCAGCGGCTGTGTCATATCCTGCGAGCAATTCCACATAAGCGAGGAACGATATCTCTGCTCCTCCCGTGTGAGCCGGAGCTGCTTCCGCGCGAAACTAGATGGCTTCAGGGGGATTGTGCAGGAGGCGGAGCGACTGCCGTAGACAGGCATGGGGGTCTTGGCGAGCGACGGATTAACCCGAGCTGGATTATCGAGTGTCGCGCTGAGCTCGTAGCACTGGCGGACGAGCTCTTGCACACCGTCGGTCAGACGGGATGCGCGCTCCTCGATATCCGGCCAGAAGGCATCGCCCCAGAAGGGATCTTCGCAGACGGCTGTCTCGAGGGCGTTCAGCCAGCACTGGAAGCCGGAGCGGGGTCCTGCGAGCTGTGAGGCGACAGCGACGAATCGGATCGTCGGTTCGGAGTGTAGCACGTGCTGAACGATGCAGGCGGGACAGCGGGCTGTAAGGTACCAGTCATGTTCTTCGGTGAGAATGCAGTTCAGCCAGGCGAAGGCGCTGCGGGCTTCGCCGCGGAATGCGCGTTCGGGCTCGGCGCCTTTCTGGCTTGGGAGGGTGCGTGCTGCGATGCGCTCGGCTTGGTGATTGATTAGGAAGAGCGGGACGAGGAGGGTGTGGATGATGTCGCGGTGGAGGCGGTAGGTTTCTTGTTCGGTGGAGGTGCAGGAGTGTCGATGGCCGGCGCAGAAACTCGGTCGCTCCATACCGCATTCCTGGCGGCGGAGCTGTTCACGCATTACTCGAAAAGCTTCATTGCGCTCTAGCTCGACTTGTTCATGTCGGGTGATGTGGAACGGGGAGGCCATTGTGGATGGATAGGTCGAATTGTACGCCGTATGTATCTCGGGTATTTTTTTTTGTGGATCGTGCGACCGGGTATAATGGTATAGGGGCTTATAGAACCATGTCGAGATATCGATAAAACCAGGTACAGGATAGGGCTGAGTTGAAGTAGTCCATTAGAGAAAAATAATCTAGGGCCGGATGCGGGCTGGATATTATAGTGGTGTTTCTCTTCCCCCCTTTGCGGAAACGTCATTTACAATGTCTCCCGTTTTTGGTGACAAGTCCAAGACCAAAGCCCAGATGATCCTAATGGAGGGATCCACTAGCTGACGAACACTCTGCGTGTGGCGACGATAATTGGTGGATATGTCGGAATGAAGTGGAGGAGTGGAGATTGGAGCGAAGTCTGGACTGTTGCACATCCAAGGATGTTAAGGGATGTTTATAGATCTGCTACTTAAAAGGTAACACGACACCCAATTACATAGCTATTAGATGAATGCGACATTATTTGTTTGCGACCTACTACGTTTTTTTTAAAACACCATCTGCCATCAATCTCGAGATATTCGCCATAGTACCCTAACCTCCTTATCTCGCAAGGACCTCGTTCTAGCCCCCCATGGCGACCGCCGAAAACCGCCCAGTGGAGTAACGTGGCAGTCTCCGAATTTTAAAAGACTTCGCATCTTATTAGCGTTATTGCTAGTGATATTCAAAGTTACATGCATTTAGGGGTCCACGAGACCTTGATTTCTTCCTAGCCCGATACCTGCCCAATCCTACATACATATGCTAGGTATAAACAAAGAAGATAACTACATGTACTCCGTACCTATGATAACTACGGAATTTTGCTGAAAGAAAATAAAATTAAATAATCTGCAGATCGATGAGATGCCGTGTGCCAGGTTTTGAAGGACTATCGTTTCCATGTCTAGTAAGAGTGGATATAAGGGTAAGGGAGTGATTGACAGGGTTTAAGATGAGGGGGGCAATGCTGGTCCGATCGTGGCACAGTAATAGCGACAATAAATAGTTGGTATAACATGTCTCAAGCCTTCCAGGGTAAGAATAGTATTTTTATATATTAGAGAAGTATTTATAGTATAGGGGCGAGGTGTGTTGTGGAACTCGGTATAGTCCGGGTTAGGGGGGCAACATCACAACAATATTGGATGAATTTTCAGACTTTGGCACAGAACAAGAATCAATTTTAAATATTTTAATATTGACTGGAGACTGCACATCTTCTACCTACTTGAGTATCTGTCTAGTCTCTACGGAGTACACGGAGTACTCCTTAGTCTCGATTTACTCCATACTCCATACTCCAATTGTGTGATATCCGTATGGGGAAAATTAGGGCTGGGCCCCAACGGCCCAGGCACAGCCCTGGAGTCAACAATCAACAATCAACCGTCAACATTTGAAGTTGCCCAGATGTACTCCGTACTCCAGTTGGATATGCTGTGTACTCTATTACTTTACTTTGTACTCTGTATACCTTGAAGCTTAGTTAAAACCCAAAGTACTATCTGGAATGTCCCAATTGAGGCCAGGAATGAAGTACGGAGTACGCTAGTTGGAAATAAACGCCCTGCAGATAATTTGGTTGCTACAGTCCCAAATCAAGGAACTGACCTGTTATTTCCATGTTTCACATCTACTTTTCCTCTTCCCTTAAAATTGTTGAGATTGTAACTTTTTCTTTTTGTTTGCACCTGCCCTGATTCCTTCGTTGTCCGGGCAAGAGCGTCAACGTACATACCAGAGTTGAGAGACTTTACTTTTCTTCTCTTCAAGCCATTGCTATTTCATCGCATCGTCTATTTCACTGTTACTTTCACAGATTTTAATCATGTTACCATCCCTGGCATTTTCGGCAGTGCCATTGCTACTCGCCGGCTTACAGGCTACTGCAGTGGGCGCAATCTCGCCCATTTCCGCTGTCGGCTCCAAATTCTTCTACGAGAACGGAACCCAGTTCTACATCAAGGGTACCTCAAAATCCTACACTGTAGGTATCTTGCCTGACTGACTCGTCTAGGCATTGCTTATCAGCTTACCCCAAGTGACCCGCTTGTCGACACTGCCCAATGCAAGCGTGATATCGCTCGGATGTCCGAGCTGGGCACCAATGCGATCCGTGTGTACCACGTGGATCCCCATGCTGATCACAAGGGCTGTATGTCGGCGCTCGCCGATGCTGGTATGATTGATTCCACTTCCCAGGGTAATTATGTGTACTAATGCGCTTGTCTAGGAATCCACTTGTTCGTCGATTTGGACACTTTTAATACCCAGATCGAACAGGTAGGTCCACTTTCTCCTCGTGTGGATCATCTACTGACGATCGCAGAACGAGCCTCACTGGAATCAGACCCAGTTTGATCACTTCAAGGAGGTGCTCGATGAATTCCAAAAGTTCGACAACACTGCCGGTGTCTTGGTCGGAAATGAGGTACTCACCACGGCTGATGGCTCGGCTGCTGCCCCCTACGTCTTGGCGGCTGCCCGCGATATCAAGGCCTACCGTGATAAGAAGGGCTATCGCGAGATCCCCGTTGGCTACTCTGCAGCCGATATCGCCGATCTGAGACCCATGCTGCAAAACTACATGGCCTGTGCCAAGAATGCATCCGAGCGCCTGGACTTTTACTCGCTGAACGCCTACGAATGGTGCGGCGCGTCCAGCTATGAACAGTCGGGATACAATATTCTACAGAAGAACGCGACTGACTACCCAATCCCTATCTTCTTCTCCGAGACTGGCTGCAACACCCCCTCACCCCGCACATTCGAGGACCAGGCTGCTATCTTTGGTGAGCACATGTCTGATACTTGGTCTGGATCCATTATCTACGAGTGGATTGAGGAAACCAACGACTATGGGTTGATCAGCTATGGACCTTCCGTCGACGCTGCGACTGCGACCGCGAGTAGCATCGAGGATGGCTTTACCCGCAAGGGCACACCGACGCCCGTGTCCCCTGATTTTAACAACCTCAAGTCTCAGTGGGCTACTCTGCACCCGACCGGAGTTGCCCTTTCCGCTTACCGCAAGAGCGCATCCAGCCTCACCGCCATTGAGTGCCCTGCCTCGACCTCTGGTGGATGGGCAGTTGACCCAAACTCGCCGCTTCCTACCTTGGGACAGACCTTTAAGAAGGGTTCTGATTCCACAGCGACCGGTAAGAACAGCAAGGCTACTGACGCTAACTCAAGCGGATCCGCCTCTGCATCGGCAACAAAGGAAGGCAATGCTCACTTTGTGACCGTCGGTTCGCCAGTTACTGAGCGCTTGCTCGCTGGCTCTTTTGTGCTGTCTGGTCTGTTGGGTGCCGTTGCCATCTGGCTTTGATTTTGTCGTTTCCCTCATACTCGACCTTTGACGATTGCGGCCCAAGCCATTGTATTGATAGCATCACAGATTTGGGATAGACGAGTCCGGCTCAGCCACTGCATGATATATTGGAGTTGGTGTGCTGTGTTTGCATACAGGTTATGTTATCTCAGGTCTGTCTTTTCACGAAGCATGAAGTGTACACAAGAAATGAATTATTAGTGCTGCATAAAGAACCCGGTCATTAGACCATCAAGACATTATCGTACATCTTCCATCTACTTATGAAACGTCAACCCTTCTATCCCAGTAATGTTCATATCCAACTCTGGCAGATACAGCTGTGGCGAGACTTGTTCCACTCGTATCTCCGGCTCTTCAAACTCCGAAATATCATCTTCCTCAATCTCAAAATCAACAAATTCCCCTTCCTCAACATTACTCTCGCTCTCAGTCCCAGCATCCCCAAACCCGAAATCAAACTCCGAAACCGACCCGCAAACCGAGTCAGACTCAGAAACTCCCATCGGAGCCGAAGAAGCAACAGAAAAAGCACTCTTCCCAACTCCCGTCTCCCGAATAGCCTCCAACCCCCCATTCCCATGTCTTTGTCCCCAATCTTTCTGTCCCCACTCCTTCTCCTTCTCCTCCTTAGATCCCTTCAATCCTTCCCCCTTCCCCCGTTTTTCCTTAACACAATGCAACCCCCGCATCTCATCCTTATCCCCCCCCACCACGTCCGCGGGCAATAGCATCGGCAAACCCCCTCCTAACCCGCTTCGCAAGCGGCCTCTTCTCACCCTCAAAATCAAGCATGGACCGCACAACAATCAACATCTTCGGCACAGCCCAGAAAGCACGATCGGAGCGTCGATCCCGTCGACAACGTTTCAAGGCATCACCCTCTAACAATGCAATCCACGATTGAACCTGCACCGCATTCCGCGCGAGATGGAACGATGCATCTGCTATCCCGCCGCCGCGGCCGGCGGACCGGTTCCGGGCGCTGCGGTGCGTGCTGAAGGATGTGAGGGTTCTTTTGTGTAGCGTTGTTAGGATGTCGAGAGTTATTGCTGCGAGGGAGAAGATGTCTGCTGGGGTGTGGGGGTTTGGTTGGGGTTCAGAGGAAGATGTGTGGGAGGTGTGGGAGGTTAGGGGTCTTGTGAATGATGGTGCTAGGGATTGGGCGGATTTGGAGTGGCGGAGGGAGGAGGGTGGGTTTGGGAAGAGGGTTGATGAAGGGGAGGTATGGGGATTTGGGGATGTTATGGTTGATGTGTTTGAGGAGGAGGATGTGGAGGTTGAGATTATTGATGGGGCTGAGGGGGTATGTTTGTTTCTTCGGGACCAGAAGGATGAGATGCGGTGTTTTATTGGTTGCGGGGATGTTGCTGTTGCGTCTGTGTGGGTTGATGATGCTGCTGAGGAGGCCTCGGAGGATGAAGAGGAGGATGAGAAGGCGAAGGAGAAGCGCGTTGGTGAGCCGATGCGGATTACTGTGCCTTTTGAGGCCGCGGAGTTTGGTCTTGTACCGTCTTGGGATGCTGGTGGGCTTTCGTTCAATGTGGCTAGGGCTAGACGGGTTGGTCGTTGTCTGCGCTTTGTACGTCCTCCAGATTGAAGGAGGGTTTGGGAGGGCTGTGCTGGCTTTTGCGGGATGACTGGAGCTGCAGGACGAGTCCAGCGCTCTGGGGCGGAGTAGTTGTATGCCTCAAGGTCGTTGACTTGTGGTGGTATCAGGAGGGAGTCGAGTGCTTGGAATTGACCGAGGCAGATGTTAAAGTTTGCGTCGATGAAGATGTTGGATGGGCGGATTGCGCCGTGGGAGTGGCCGCGTGCATGCAGCCAGCAGACTGCAGATGCAAGGCAGTGGGGCCAGGTGATCAAGATCTGACGACGTGGCTCTTTTTCTAGTCGTTTGAAGGACATCGGCTCATCTGTTAGGAAACTGTGTAGGTTTCGATCTGCCGTGGCGCCCGTGAAAAGCACTGAGACGCTGTCGTCTTTCAGATATGAAGCGAAGACAGAGACAATATGCTCGTGTGACAACTTTTTCAAGCTGCGGATCTCAGCAAGAACCTCATCAGCAGAGAAGAAATGCGGTGCACCGCCAACTTGCACTTGGGTTCGCATGTAGACTCGACAGACGGAGCCGGCGAGGACTACCCTGTCTACCGTATCATCACGTCCGTGTATCCCGCTGCCGGTATTAGTGCGTACCGTCTCGACCGGGACACCCTCATTCTCGGTATACACGACATGGTCTCCCTCATCTATCCCACGGACCAGGAAGCGCCATTGGGCATGGAAGAAACTGGCTTCGAGAGCAAGGTCTTCTCCATCGGGGGATAGATGTAGTAAATCGACACTATGTTCCGCGACGGGTAGATCATCATCGTCACAGGATTCGTCGACTAGCGCGAAAATCCGATCGGGAATGCCGATAGCATCCAGGATCATGAAAACACGGCCGGCCTTTGTGAGGATCCATTCCATGTACGTCTCACTGGTCAAACCTTCGCCCCAGTCCGGTAATTCAAAGAGACGCGGGATATTCTCTGGTCGCAGACGACTGACGATGTACTTTGCGTCCAGGGTAGATTTGATACGCTCTTCGGGCCACCATAGTGAGGTTTGTTCGTACTGAGACATATTGGCATGACCCGCAGAAAGCGTTCGTAGATCCAACATAACTGGGAGAGCCGAGTTCTAATATAATGAACCATGTCTGGACAATGCGGCTGTCAAGGCCCATGGCTCCACGAGTGTCCAAAGAACAAGGGAATAATGGGCGCCTACTGGTGGAGGGCTTATCTCGACGGCAAGGAGAGTAATGTTCAATAGCCCCAGAGAATCAGATGGTAGTTCGAGTTTAGAGTTAAGTTATCCCTATAAAAACGGTAGAAAAAGGTAGAAAAAGTACTAGGGGCATAACACTTTCTATGTAACTTCCAAGGTTGTTACAAGTAAAAAATGTCTTAAACTCATTGTCAGCCAATCTAGGGCTTGAGGCTTATCTTTACTAACAAGATAAGAGATCATCATATGTCAACTGTCATATGCACTTAAGTAGATCTATTGTACTTTATTCTACTTATTTGTGGCAAATGCGGCAAAGAATTGCAAGGGAGTTCAATAATTGTATTATTGTATTCCTTTCCCCTCAGAACTTGATTCATCCCATATGCACTGTACATGTACACTCTGCACTCCGGGTATATTCCGGTCCGTTGCGGAGAGACAGCGATCCATTTCTCCGTATACCTATCTCGGGCATGTTAATATATTTTTTTTCTTCTTCAAAAGCCACATTCGTAAGCACTGGTGGCGCCTGATAATGGCATTGACAAGTGCTTTTGTAGATAGCCCATTTGCCTTGTCAGGGACCCGTCAAAAACTCGGAATCCATGCAGCACGACCCCCGTCAGCCTCTCCACCGTTTTCTCGCCCCACAATCTCATTTTGTTGTCGCCCCCAACCCAGACTATCGGGAGGGGATTACTTGGCCCAAAGTTGAGCGGGGTATATCCTTGGAGATGAGAGAGGAGAACGTAATCTGTACTCCGTAGTAATGTACGGAGTAGGCTAGCGCAGATAACCGCACGAGCTGAGTATTATGAACGATGGGTCGTTTTCCAGTTAAATTGAAGCCTCGGAGTTCCGACTATGAGCCAAGCGCCGGGCAACTTGGCGTTCTGGAGATGGTGGACATGTCCACTGTGGAAATTGAAACACTCATTTCTAAACATGGTGAATAGCGTTGTTTTTCTAAGGTAGTATTTTTGTCTGGGAAAATGAGAATGTTTAATATGTTTAATACTCGAGCCCGAGATTGGTCTCACATATCGATGAATATGTACTCCGTAGTAGCTTCCGGGTGTACTTCGGGAGATAATGTGCCCCAGGATAATACCGGGATTGGGATGCCGATATCTCGGCGTTTGTTTCTAAGTGGTTCTAGAAGGGACAGGGGATAGATATTTCATGTCTACTAATCTTAAAAAAAAGGTGAGTCTTGAGGGACCTGAACAACAAATAAATATCTCGAGAATATACTTCAATAATTGAAGCAGGTTTTTTTTTTTTCTTTCTTTCTTTTTTTTCCCTAAAAAAAGCCATCAGCTCTATACCTGAAAGAAGGGGGAGCAGGAAGTCAATTCGAGGTATGTAGGTACCTAGGTATGTATGTAGGCAACTACTTCGATGTACTTGCTAGTAGCCTTTCTTATCACTCTCATCTATAGCCTCATTTTCCATGGATATAGGGCAACAAGGGCTTCAATTAAAGTCCACGAGTCTATTATGGTGATATATCACCCCATCTACAAGAGTAAAGAAACAAAAAGTTGAGCCTTTTGTGCCCGTTTCATCAAACACCTGAATGTGCATCCTAAGAAGAATGTTCCTCGCCTTGGTCGCTCCTGCTGCTTCTCAGCCATGGTCATCTCCCCCATCACCGAGTTCTCAACTTGTACTTCTTCCTTCTCCTTCCCTTTCCATATCTATCAGCTATTTCATTCCAAATCGAGCCAAAATGATTGTTGTCACTGGTGGTGCCGGCTTCGTCGGTTCAAACATCGTCAAGGAGTTGAACAACCGTGGCGTGACCAATATCGTGGTTGTCGACGACATGACCGATGGATCCAAGTTCCGCAACCTCGTCAACTGTAAGGTGGCTGACTACATCGATGCGACTGACTTCCGTGAAGCGATTCGGACCAGGACCTTTTCCCACCGTCCCCGCGTCATCTTCCACTATGGCGCAAGCTCTTCTATCACCGAGACGAACGGTAAGAAAATGCTTGACGCCAACTTCACCTACTCCAAGGAGCTTTTCCATTGGTGCAAGGACCGGGGCGTTCGCTTCATCTACGCCTCGTGCGCTGCTGTTTATGGGGACAACACCGCCTTCACCGAGGGAGACTTCCAAGAAGCCCCTCTGAACGTCTATGGATATTCGAAGATGCTATTTGATCAGTATGTGGTCAAGAACACCGACTTGCGCTCTCCCCAAGTTGCGGGACTCCGTCTGTTCAACGTCTATGGACCCGGAGAACAGAACCGCGATACAATCCCAAGCACCGTTTACCAGTTCTACGAAAAGCGCAAGTCATTCAAGGCGATTGAGCTCTTCGGGGAATACGCCGGGGTCGAAGCTGGGCAGCAGAAGCGTGACTTCGTTCACGTTCAGGACGTTGCCCGCCTGAATTGTTGGTTCCTCGACCACCCGGAGATCAACGGCATTTACAACGTTGGCACTGGAGTTGCCAGCAGCTTCCACGACGTCGCCACTGAAGTCGCCAGTCACTTCGGTAATCCCGAGGGCTACATCAAGTTCATTCCATTCCCAACCGAACTGAAAGGCAAATACCAGAGCCACACCTGCGCCGATATCTCGAAGCTCCGCCGGGCTGGCTCTGTGTTGCGTTTCCGAGGTATCAAGGAAGGCATCAAGGATTACTTGGAGTGGCTTGAAAGTCCTGAAGGTTTGGCTCGCTAAGCATTGCGCCGAACATGATTACACTTAGCACCCTTGGTGCCTTCGAAAACGCGGCCAAGCTTCTATTCCATGACGAAAGACTTTATCCTTCGAAACGACATGGGGCCGTCATTTGTTTCTGTTTACAGAAATCTCTTCATATTTGGCCACACCAAATATACTTATGAACATCACGAATTTATCACGAGAAAAGGAAAAAAAAAATAAAACCCCGAAAATGACCCGGCAAAACGATAAAAACAATTGAACTGGTCAAACTAGCCTGGATTGAGCGAGATTTCTTGAACCCCGACGAACAGGTCCTCCACATCAAGACAACCTAGGTAGCCAGAATTTCCATAAAAAATGGAACAGAGATCCTCAAACACATTTCTCCTAGATAGTAATCATTGAGTGTTCGTGTGTGTGGCCTCATATCCGCACCCAATCAACCCTGCGGGGAATTGACAGCCTCCTTCTCGTGGGGTAATGATTTATCTTCAGGCGATGCTTGTTTTAACACTGCACCACTCACAGCCCACTTCATGGAATTGAAAAGCCTAACAGAAACTGGTTCATCCCTGCCAATACCTGATCAACTCAAACCTGGGGGGCCAGAAAGCGTGAAATTCACCAACTCACAACTTACGCCAACAGACCATGAACCTGCCGCTTGAAAACCGATAGGGACAGCATGTGTCTTTGAATCGCTGCTATAGGACTAGGAACACGTTCGAGTGTTTGACTATTGATTAGACCCCCGAGGGCCATATGCTGAAGCAGCCTCTAGTGCCCGATAATTTCCACAGCTTGAGACTTTGCCTTTCAGGACAGAAATCTGGATCTTCCGAATATCAATACAACTGCAGAAGTTGCAGAGAGCAAAGGCGAATTAGGCAACGTCGATCTCTATTCTTCATACGTCATCCTTTTTAAATCCCAGGGAAAGGTTCAATGGTATATAAATAGAAACTTAGTGTGTCGAAATGCAACAGGGCTCAAAGAATCTACTATGAGTCGAATAAAAATACTTTGAACAGAAAGTGACTTAGTCAGATACTCTTAAAAAAAAAGGCGAGGTCTATCGCATTGAATTAGGGAGTGAATAAATAAAATACAAAGAGGTCCCTTTAGGACCGACGATCTGCGTCAATTCCCAGCCAATAGTTCACCTCAGAACCAGGACGAACCACTCCAGGGCCGCGAAGACAAGCAAGCAAGAAAAAACGAAATCAATCCGTACTGTGCATATTTGTAGAAACAAGAGATAAAATAAGGAAACACACGAGGTGTTGGTGGGTTAATTTGCAGGAAAAACGCATTTACATCACCAAGCTGAAGAAAGCAGCGAGAGAAGTCAGCACCAGACTGGAAGCAATCGACAAGCTCGAGGCCGAGTTGAAGACCGGGGATGCGCTGGGGGAGGCGCTTCTAATTGGGCTTCGACTCGCGTACGGGTACCCGCTTGAGGTCACCCAGATTCCCGATGTAGGGCGGGGAACACGGCCGCTGTGTGCTGGGGAAGTGCCAATAGGACCAGCAGGAACCAGACCAATGGTTGGAGTGGCACCGGAGCTAGTAGCGGTATTTGTGACGAAGCTGACCTGCGGCACAGTGACGGTGTAGGTCGAGTAGGTGATTGTTGTGCAGGGGGCGGTGGGGCCGGAGGTGATGGGGACGACGGCGCTGGCAGTGACAGTGGCGCCGGAAACGCTGGATGGAGGCGCAGAAGGAGCGACTGTCGGGATTAGGGTGATGGTTGAGGGGATGGCGGTCACGATGCCTGGGTTCTGAGGGACCCAGGCAGCGCAGATACCGGTGAAGTAGGAGAGGGCGGATTGGATCTCTTCCTTGGAGGTACCCCAGGCTTGGATGCAGGAGATGACTTTGCTGGTGAACTCGCTGTTGGGGCAGAAGCATGAGGCATCGCTGTTGGATGTGCACTTGGGGGTGAGAGTGAGCCAGGTATTGATACACTGGGGCACGGTATTGGGGCAGGGAACTGAGGGAGCTGGGCTCGATACCGGGGAAACACCAGTGGGGACCGCTCGGGTATTACTGGCTGTCGAAAGAGAATTGGTCTCGGTGGCAGTAGTAGCGGTAGTGGTGCATTGGGTACAGATAGTTGAGACGGAGGTGAGGGTCACTGTGGAGACTGTGTTGGATGTGGTAACGAAAGTGGAAGAACCCGACGTGACGGTGTTGGTCACCGGGCAGGTTGTCTCTGTCACGTAAGTCACAACGGTAGTAGTGGCACCCTCGGGAATGGTGGGTGTAGAGCTTGCGCCAATGCTAGATAGGACGACACTAGTGATAGCGGGACCCGTAGGGGTAGTGGTGGAGGCGACACCTGTATCAGAGGGAGCAGGTGTGCTTCCGGCAGCGACAGAGCTAGGAAGGCTAGAAGTAGAGGTTAGGGTAACAGTTGAAACTGTGCTGGATGTCGTGACGAAAGTCGACGATCCAGAAGTAATAGTCGCAGTCACAGGGCAGGTGGTTTCGGTCACGTAAGTCACAACGGTTGTAGTCTCACCCTCGGGAACGGTGGGCGTAGAGCTGACTTCGACGCTGGATGAAACGACACTGGTAATAGCGGGGCCCGTAGGAGCAGTGGTAGTCTCACCCTCGGGCACTGCGGGTGTAGAGCTGACGTCAACGCTAGATGAAACGACACTGGTGACATCGGGACCCGTAGGAGCAGTGGTAGTCTCAACACCGGGAACAGTGAGCGTAGAGCTGACGCCGACGCTAGATGAAACGACACTAGTGATAGTGGGACCTGTTTCGGAGGGAGCGGGGGTGCTTCCAGCAGCGACAGAGCTTGGAAGGTTGGAAGTGGAGGTCAAGGTGACAGTTGACACCGTGCTGGAAGTTGTGACGAAAGTTGACGAGCCAGAAGTGATAGTCGCAGTCACAGGGCAGGTGGTTTCGGTCACGTAAGTCACAACAGTTGTAGTCTCACCCTCGGGAATAGTGGGCGTAGAGCTGACGCCGACTCTAACGCTAGATGAGACTATACTGGTGACAGCGGGACCCGTAGGAGTAGTGATAGGGGCGACACCCGTATCAGAGGGAGCGGGAGTGCTTCCAGCAGCGACAGAGCTTGGGAGGTTGGAAGTGGAGGTCAAGGTGACAGTTGACACTGTGCTGGAAGTTGTGACGAAAGTTGACGAGCCAGAAGTGATAGTCGCAGTCACAGGGCAGGTGGTTTCGGTCACGTAAGTCACAACAGTTGTAGTCTCACCCTCGGGAATAGTGGTTGTGGAGCTGACGTCGACGCTAACGCTGGATGAGACTATACTGGTGACAGCGGGACCAGTAGGAGCAGTGGTAGTCTCACCCTTGGGAACTGCGGGTGTAGAGCTGACGCCGACGCTAGATGAAACGACAGCGGGACCCGTAGGAGTAGTGATAGGGGCGACACCCGTATCAGAGGGAGCAGGAGTGCTTCCAGCAGCGACAGAGCTTGGAAGGTTAGAAGTGGAGGTCAAGGTAACAGTTGACACCGTGTTGGATGTCGTGACGAATGTCGACGATCCAGAAGTGACAGTGGCAGTCACAGGACAGGTGGTCTCAGTTACATAAGTCACAACAGTTGTAGTCTCACCCTCGGGAATAGTGGGCGTAGAGCTGATGCCGACGCTAACGCTAGATGAGACTATACTGGTGACAGTGGAACCCGTAGGAGCGGTGGTGGAGGCGCCTGTTTCGGAGGGAGCGGGAGTGCTTCCAGCAGCGACAGAGCTTGGGAGGTTGGAAGTGGAGGTCAAGGTAACAGTTGACACCGTGTTGGATGTCGTGACGAATGTCGACGATCCAGAAGTGACGGTGGCAGTCACAGGACAGGTGGTCTCAGTTACATAAGTTATAACTGTGGCAGTCGATCCTTGGGGAATCGCCGGTGTGGTTTCGGCGCCCACGCTAGAGGGGACCGAGCTAGTAATATCGGGGCCGCTGGGGAGGGGACTAGATGCCTCTGCAGTCGTGGAAAAGACAGGACTTGATCCTTCGGGCGTACCAGATGGCCCAGGGCTGGAAATGACAGTGTTCGAAGCCCCGGGCGCACCAGATGGGGCAACGGTGCTCTGGCCAGCAATGGAGGTAGCGGTAGCCGAACACTGGGTGCAGATTGTAGAGACAGTAGTTAAAGTAACAGTTGAAATGGTACTTGAGGTAGTCACGAAAGTAGAGCTACCAGAGGTAACAGTGTTAGTCACCGGGCAAGTGGTTACAGTCTCCCAAGTAACGACAGTGGTGGTAGCCTCTCCAGAAGCGGGGGTAGTGCCAGCAGGAGACGAAGGTGCAGGCGATGAGACATTGGAGGTAGCCCCGGGAACCGAGGAGGTCACAATAGGAGCCGATGAGGTCCCGACTGACGTAGAAACAGCTGAAGTGCCACTAGGAGGAATTGATCCAACCGGGGAGCTTACGGGCAAGACGCCGCTTGGGCTTGTGCCTGTAGGTAGTGGTGTGGAGCCGACATCAGTTGTGGTAGTCTCTGTCACAGGACACACAGTAGTCGAGATCGGGATTGTCGAAGTCACGACTGTGGTCGAGTCCGCTGGGCAGCTCACAACATCAGGAGCACAGCTAGTGATAGTGACTTCACTGGTGGTGTACACGGTTGATGTAGTCATCTGGACTGGAGTGGTGATCAACGGGGTCGAAGCGGTGGAACTTCCAGCCGGAGAGCTAATAGGGAGAACACCGCTAGGGCTGGGTATAACGGAAACAGATAATGAACTGGTAGCGGTAACAGTAGTCTCAGTGACAGGACCCACAGTGGTCGAGACCGGAATAGTCGAAGTCACGACTGTGGTCGAGTCTGCTGGGCAGCTCACGACGTCAGGGGCACAGCTAGTGATGGTAATCTCGCTGGTGGTATACACAGTTGAGGTAGTCATCTGAACTGGAGTGGTGATCAACGGGGTTGAAGTAGTGGAACTTCCAGCCGGGGAGCTCACGGGCAAAACGCCACTTGAGCCTGTACCTATAGGCAGAGGTGTGGAGCCGACAGCAGTAGTCTCAGTGACAGGACACACAGTAGTCGAGATCGGAATAGTTGAAGTCACGACTGTTGTAGAGTCCGCTGGGCAGCTCACGACGTCAGGGGCACAGCTTGTGATGGTGACCTCGCTGGTGGTATACACGGTTGAGGTAGTCATCTGAACTGGAGTTGTGATCAACGGAGTTGAAGCGGCGGAAGTTCCACCGGGGGTATCAGCCGTGATAGACGATATAGAAGAAGCCGAAATCGAGGATAAAGGAACGGATATACCACTAGAAGTAGGAACTCCAGCAGATGAGCTAACAGGGAGAACACCGCTAGGGCTGGGTATAACGGAAACAGACAATGAGCTGGTAGCGGCAACAGTGGTCTCAGTGACAGGGCACACAGTGGTCGAGATCGGAATAGTCGAAGTCACGACTGTTATAGAGTCCGCTGGGCAGCTCACGACGTCAGGGGCACAGCTTGTGATGGTGACCTCGCTGGTGGTATACACGGTTGAGGTAGTCATCTGTACGGGAGTGGTGATCAACGGGGTTGAAGAGGCAGAAGTTCCAGCGGGGGTAGTGGAGGAAATGGAAGAAGAAACCAAAATCGAAGATGTAGGAATGTATGTGCCACTGGAAGGAGGAACACTAGCCGATGAGCTGGCAGGTAGAACACCAACCGATGAGCTGGTAGGCAGAACACCAGCCGATGAGCTGGCAGGCAGAACACTGTTCGGGCTGGTCACGGCAGACACAGACGGTGAGCTTGTGGCGACAGTAGTGGTCTCCACAACAGGACTGGTCTCCGAAACAAGAGTAGTCTCCCCGGCAGGTGCAGTCTCCGTTACAGGGCAGACTGTGGTGGAAAGGGCGATGGTGGAAGTTACCACAGTAGTTGAGCCTGATCCAGCAGGGCAATCGGTAACAGTCGGGGCACAGCTAGTGATAGTGATCAAACTGGTGGTAAACACAGTCGATGTAGTCATCCGAAGAGGTGTGCTCACCGCTGAGGTGGTGGTTGGGACCACAACAGAGTCTGGGACAGAGACCGAAGGCACGACAGAGCCAGGGCCAACAGACACAGATATCTGTTCATATCGAGCTCTGATAATAGGAGTAGTGGTGGCAATGGCAAGCGCAGTGGTTGTGGAACCAGGGGTGCAGTCAAAGCTAACGCTGTATATGCCAAAACCACAGCTCTCATACTCACTATCGTCGGGCAGCTCGAAGTGAACGGACTTAGCACCACCACACTGATCGTTGGTGACCACAGTACCAGCTGAGTTGCAGGAAGCGGTGTTCTTGCAAGTCGACCCATCGGGCATGCTATAGATGATGTTCAATTCGGTATCCTTCTCAGTGGCAACATGGAAGTTGGTCACAGAGAAGCTGGTCTCATTGGACCCGGAGGCAAATGACGGAGCCGAAGAACCGGAGGTCTGGGAGCTAGAGGCCGCACTGGAGCTAGAGCTACCTTTGGAGACGGTGCCGGAAATGCATTTCTGGGTCTAGAGTCATTGTCAGTATTTGCAAATGAAAGAGAAGCATACATTCCTTACACCACGCTTGCCAAGGCTAGAACCAAATCCATTGCCGCAAGTGAAACCAGAGAAGGAGAAGCCACCATACTCGGAGAAAGAGCCAGCAGCGAGGTCAGTCCAGCTGAAGCCCTTGCTCTGGTACTCGTTACACTTGTTAGGCGATCTACCCGGGGTGGAGTAGTATTTCTCGGACCCCCAGTACTAAGACGATCCGAGTTAGAACATATATCAAAGATGATAGGACGTGAGTGGAGGCATACTGATCCGGTGGCCTGGCCAGAGGCCAGAAGAGAGAAAAACGCAATAGCCGAAGTGACCTTCATAGTGGAAGGATAACGACAACGAGTGACGAGAAAGTGGGACGCAAAAGGAAGATAGAATGGAAGGAAAAAAGAAGAGAGAAGAAGTATGATGAAAGAAACAAAATGAAGTGATATAAAGATCAGGGCTGGATAGGCTGCGATTTAGAAAGCTAGGCCTCAATAGATATTGCAATAAAAGCCACAATTGTATAGGAAGCAAAGGTGGCAATTTCTATTAGTATTGTTGATCGGCGACAATAAAAAAAAAGCCTCAATGAAACTGAACCAATATCAAACGAAAGAGGGTGGGACAAGGAAATGCGTATCCCTGAACGAGCGTCTTTGGTTGGGGACGAACCAAGATAGGCAAAAAAAGCCAAAAGGAAATCAAACAATGACGAGAATGAAAGAGGTGCAGAATCTGGGCAGAGTCGGGGGGTCTTTAAACAATTGTCCAACGCAGGCTATTCCACGAACCTCTGCAGACAAAGATTTGGCTGCAGCTAGCAAGCATTTCTCTGCTGTCCCAAAATACCCTGGCGTCAAGGACCCTGGTAAGACATTTCGTCAGAGAAAAGCGAGCCTCTCTCCAATCGGCAAGTATCTGAAGGTTCAGATGAAACGGCAGTGGCTGAAAAGAGGGCGAGCTTAGGATAAATCTAGAGCTCGGCGCCGATTAGTGCAGGAACGAACTGCAGAAGCTGGAGAAGAGCCACTCAGGCTTGCAGGCTGGGGCCGTTGACCAAGGCGCTTGCCGGGGACCAATCGCATTCAGCATCAGTTCATGGGATGTGACTTGTGAGATCAATCGACATTAATTGATGGCCAGCCAATGAGAACCCTCGAGTAAAAATAGTGTATGAATATTAGGCGCTTGATCGGCACGGAAACTTGCATATGGCCGAGGGTTGGAAAGAAAGGGCCATCAGGGTAGATAGAGTACAGGTAGAGTATAGGTAGGGTACCAAAATCCACGTGCAGTTTTTTGATATGGGGTCTTCCATCTCTCCATATCTCTAGTGGCTTGAACTCACCTTTAACCGAAACCAACTATTTCAGATTCGGTGTCAGAGATTCAAGTTCAAAAATAATTTGAGTAACAATTAATGCGACCGATGAGAAAAGAGAAAAATACCCTGGCGCCTCGCCCATTTGTCGCCCACTTTCTGCGTGGCTCCATATGTGCTTATTATTGATGTTCATCATCTTTTCCTTTCCAAGTATACTCCGTACAAGCTCTTTCATGCACCTTCGAAGCGCCGGGGTTGACCAATCAGAGAAGAGATATGGAGTACTACTTTGGGGCCAACGGCACTGCTTGGATGTCGCACGAAATTGACTTCCTTTTTATTTTTTGATCTTTGTTCCCAGGGGCAACCCCCTGCAAGGTCGAACAGTGAGATGCTAGTGGCGGGTACCTGAACGCTCCGTCTCACCTCTTGACTGATTTATGTGGACCCTACTAAAAAGCCGAGCGCCAACGAACCTGTCTAGAGCAAAAGTCTAGTGGGGTTGTCTAAACAGCTTGAGGGGTTCCTCTAAACGTGCAATACTATTACTATCACATCTCCGATCCAAATCCGAATAAAATCCTAACGGATTTCTAGTTTAGACTGTACTCTTTTCCGATCTATAACTCCGCAAAAGACAGGGATTGTGTGACTCCGGCTTTGAGGGTTAGAGGTGCTGATATTCCGTTTCTTTCAGCTATGTTCTTTAGCAAGTCTTTCTATTTACTTTTTTAAATCTTTTTTATTTCTGGAAATTAAAACTGAAATGCAAAATCTCTCTCGGCGCGTCGGACGATGGCTTTGTCTGCAGGCTTAAATCCGGTTTAACGTGAAACGTGAGACGCTCAACTAAAAATACCCACGAATAAAAATTTTAGCGCCACGAGAATACTACGCTGTACCCCCTTGGAACTGTCAGAGTCCAGACAATCCGGTTAATTTGTAAAGTCTGAGGGTTTGATATTAATATATTCTCCTCAATGTTACTGTGCAAATGCTACGGAGTACACGAGAACCATCTGCGCCCAGGTTGCATTTGATTTCTTGCCCATGCGGTGTTCCCCCGATGCCAAGGCTTGTCTAGACTTCCTATTATGTCTCGCTACTCCGTGCTCTGTATTTAGGGGCAATGTGTCCCCCTCGACAATTTATTCTAAACATTTAGCCGTACAGCGTCCGATAGTCCCAATCAAAAACTCCTGCAGAAGGAGTACTCCGTGGATATTCAGCCGCTTGTGGGATATTACATGACTACGGGGTATGTATCAATATTTGACAGCATGTGGGAGCTGGTGGCAACTTGATAATATTATTGTAGTTATATTCAACCCTACTTGGCGTAATGACTGGATCCCTAGCTTATGAATATATTAGTTCATTATCCGGCTGATAAAATATCATGTAAATGTCCACGGAGGACGGAGAGAAAGGTGGCATTTGCTTCCATTCAAAACCGTAGCCTAGACAGTCAAAGACTCATGGCCTTCTTTAACTGGTACTTATGTACTCTGTGGGGTGAATGTGAACCACCTGGGAAGATGAAAAAGTATAATTTCCCTCTCGAAACTAAACAGTCTTGCGTTGGAATATAGTATCCTAGTCGACAGGTCTAGAATTGATTAAGCTTGTTTTGCTAGGTAGATGATTAAATATACAGATCTACTAACTTGACCACTTACACTAGAGAATTTATCACTTAGACCCCACAATGGAAAGTATACTTGCAAATCTGACTAGAAAACAGAGAAACGTTCACTGCAGATCTTCCTGGTAGATATCAAAATGAATATGTCTATGTATGATGCATCAACTAGCGGTGAACAGCACGAGCCTCGAAATGAGCCGCATGATCTAGTCCCACTTTGCTCTCCCGCGACAACATTCCTTTCAAGACCTATACATTAAACATGGAAGATGCCCCCCGCCCAAGCAAAGAAGCGTTTGAATACACCCTCCGCGCCAGCTATCAGTTATGGTCAACCCATTTCAACACCAATGATAGCCTCCGATGATTCCACCGCTGGTGCTCGGGCTGAAAGAGTTGAGAATTGGCTCGGTGGCTTCAACGTAGCAGTTGAGGCGAAAATTGAAGATTGCCAGTAATAGCACGTAGATCGAATTCTTAGATCCACGAATCAAGGCAAGGCTCTTCAATTATGTTCCCGTCGACGAATTCACCCTCAGCATCAGTGCTATAGTCATTAGGTCCTAACGTTAAGGATGACCTGATACACACCTCAGTCCTAGTTCAATGGTACGAAGCATGTCGGGCAGATTTCCTGAACAGACCTCCAGGGGAACCCTCCCGAACCTCCCGTAGGACCCAATCCGGGCTTCCTAACCTCACCTCTGTGGATACAGACTGTGCTTTCTTGGGTTCCCCACTGTCCATCACGAGCTGAACCAAGGGGCCCTGTTCTCATCTCTTCTACGTGCTCTTTGGGCCAATTTTGGAACCTTTCCACAGAGATAGCTCTCTGTTGTCCGAATAATTTTCTAGGGCCACTTTGTTTTTCAAGGTTCCTTCCTTATGGATCCGCTTCCATTGTTACCTAGTTCTTATGTTTTGTACAATCACACCGGAGGGGACAACACAGATGGTAGGGATAGAGACGATGAAACCAATTGCGGACCTTGGGAGATCTACTTAAATAAGGTTTAGGTGGATCCGGAGCTGCTGTGGGTACATCTAAGGTCTGAGCTTCATTATAGAGGATTCAGATCAAATGATCATCGAGTACTTCGTATAAGATAATGTAATAAAAGTTTCGAATGTTTTTGATATTGGTAAAGGTAAATGTAAACAGCAACTTGATCATCCATCACTCGTTAAAACGCAAATCCGCAAGTTTTCAACTCCAGAAATCCAAAGGTATCCCCAGCCCCCGCGACAGGCGAGGGAGAAAAATGGCCAGTCAATAGATATGACATGATGAAAAGAAAAGAAAAGAAAAAAAAGGAAAATGAACGACTGGAAAGATAATCAAATATCAGAAATGGATCGCTTTTGTGTTCTAGGAACCAACATCGATATTTCGCAAGTCAACTCAGCGTGCATGGTAAATCTAACTCAATCATTAGAAAGATAGACTGGCCTCCACGACACTCTAAGTAGCAAGATGCAAGACGACCAGAGCAAAGAGCCTGTATGCTCAACGTGAGGTCGACAGAGTCAAAGGCACAAGACACTAATAGGAAAGTCTGCCAGCGACTAAAAATAGATAGAATAAATTGTGGCCGTGGTTATCATATGATCTTGGTGGAAATCCAGAAGTCGTGCAATCGTGAGACCTCAGAGAGGTGCTGGGATAGGGAGCTGAGAGCGACGTTGCTGGGCATCCATCAACTTGCGTCGCACAGCCTCACCGCCTGCAATGCTGCTTGATTTACGCTTGCGGGTGGGAGTTCGCTGGTCGTTGTTCTTGGCGTGTCGGAAGACACTTGCAGGACGTGCGGGAGAGTTTGCGGGCATGAACTCGCGGTGCTGGGGGAGGCGGAGGAGCGCCTGGTAGCGGTTGTGGTTGCGACGGAAGGCGGTGACAATGCCCTTGTCCAGGTGATTGAGGAAGCGCTCTTCGCTGTTGGCTGGTTGCGACTCAGACTTGCGGGTGGGGGTAGGTGTGCCCATGGACTTGGCAAAGGGAGTGGCCATTGGTGAGACCATGGCATCATCATCCATGTCCTCATCTTCATCGGAAGATCCATTGCCAAAGTCGATAAAATCGTCGACATTGAGAGCAGCTTCTGGGTCGTCTTCTTCGTCTTCTTCGAACGAGCTGTCGATGGTGAATTCCTGAGAAGGGTAGAATGCCTCAGGGGGGCCCATGACCTGGCCTCCCGGGGTGAGATCGTTGCCGAGAGCGGTCATCATGAGGTTGGCACTCGAAGCCAGCATTGGGCTGAAATCAAGCTGATTGGGCGAGGCAAGTGCATCGGTATCGCTCTCATCAACCAAGTGAAGCGTAGTCTGGCGAGGGCTGGTGTTGGCAGTTCCGGGCATACTGTTGGCGGCGGAGTCCAGCCAGTCGTGGCGAGAAGAGGCATACGCGGGAATGATGACGAGATGCTTGCCAGTGCAGTCAACTAGGGCTACTGGCTTGTGGGGATCTGCTACGAAGGTTCCCATGATAGGCCCTCGGCGGCGGGGAATACAATCACTCTTTTCATCCACAGGGGCCAAAGAGTCGGACGAATCCCGGCGAAGAAGGGATCGAGGGTGGGTGATAGTTGCTGGTGGGGGGAGATCTTCGTCTGTGGTGTCACCATCATCGCCTTTTCAAAGAGGTTAGCAAAACCGAAATACAATACGAATTGACCAATCATCATACTCTCGTAACCACTCAAGCTGCCCTCTGAGGATCCTTCAGACTCAACGTGGTAAATGCTTCCATGGCCGTAGTCAGCATCACCAAACATCTCTTCTGATTGCCGACGGGTGTTTCTCTGGAAGCTTTCGTTGTCGTTTTCGATCATACGACGCAACTGTGGGTCCAGACTGTCCTGTTGTAAGAAGTCGCCGGGTATATCGTCGTCACTGTGGGAATCACTATCAGAGGACGAATCGGATCGCTCCTCGAAGTGAACTCGTCGGGCGACTGGTGTCTCAGCGGCTTCGCTGGTCACCTGAGGCTCCCCAAAAGTGTCCATGGCACTGTAAAGGTGCTCTTCATCAAAGAAGGATGCAGCCGGTAGGAACATGTGATCGTCGAAGGAGTTGATAGCCCACTGATCCTCGGCAAACCCAGTGCTAGGCAAAGGGCGGTGGGTCTTTTCAGACTCCACGATCATCATTTCTTCCATCTTCTCAACGTCTTGGTCTTCATCCTCGGCATCTGTGATGTAGTCTACACCGGCATACACATCATCCGAGCTGCCATCCGAGTCATCGGCGTCATCGGCGTCATCAGCGTCACTACTGTCACTGGTGTCCTCCAGGACACGTCTTCTCTTGTTGATTGCGGGTTGGCGCCCCGCCTTATTGTCTCGGCGACGACCATAAGACGGGGCCCTGACTGCTGGTTCTTGCTCGTCATCGGCATCTTCTTCTGAAGAATCTGCCTCGTCGCTCAGATCACCGAGGGATGAGACCGAAGAAACACTTGAGACTGATGATGATGATGCTCTCCGTTTCCTATCGGATGACTGAGTATTTGCCAACTTTCGAGACTGATTGGCCTTCGGTGACATATCGAGGTTCCGCATGATGTTGGGCTCGGGGGTTGAGGGGCGGGGGTGAGCGTTCTTGGCAGAGCTCTTGGGAGCCCGCTTAGAAGAGTATGAACTCTGAGGCATTTTATAGTAGATAGGTGTGAATGAATAGGGGTTATTTTGTCGGGGTGGACTTCTTTGGTCCTTGCTTCTTGTTGTTCAAATGGTCCGGTCCGTTCCAGGAGGATCCAATGATGGGATGAAGGAAGAGGGGTAGATTTCCTTAGGTGAGACGGTGGTAGTAATTTGGTCCAAAGTGGTGATCCGTTTTAAGGGGATAAGTCGAAGGGAGGTGGGACGGAGTGGAGGAGATCGGAGAAGCGGAGTGGAGGGGAGGAGTCCAAGGAATTTTTTTTTTTCGTAGCCACGAAAGCACCCGCAGTCCGTTGCGGACGCTATAGTGCTCCTTCTGGGAGTTTGCTAGGGGGCAATTCCAACGCCTGTGTAGGAGGCGTCGAAAGAGAAACAAATATCGTCAAGTAGAATTGAAGATCGGAGCTGCAGGACTGGGGAGCCGGCAGGGACAGGCTCCCCAGCGAGGCATTTACAGCTCAACGAAGGCCATTTGGCTGAATTCTTGACGATATGCAGTGGGTATGTAATGAATAGATTGAGAGGGGTTCGATAAGTTCAGTGAAATCCGAAGTAGATCAGTAGGGAGTTGCTATGAGAAAGGGAAGAAGAAGAGAAGGTCGTTTTTTTCCCCAGGGTGGGGGACAGCTGTGATTGGTTGCAGAACACGACCGCCTATTCGTTGGCGCCGCTCACCGACTCTTTCGCGCCAATCAGCGATCGCCGAAAGTCGCAACGGGAAAGTCATGAATTGGATTATCCACCTGGCCATTTACTTAAATTAGGTGGTTGCATTGACATTATATTGATTATATTGATATTGGGTTTCATTGCTGATGTTGTGCAGTACGGAGTACGTGCATCTATTACTGTATATTCCATATTCACTGTTATAGTAGCGTTTTCTAGGAATATATCCTGACAGACTGAATCGAGTCCAAACAAAACAAACCTAAAAAAACGTCATTAAACATCCTCGGCGCAATCCTCCCCGGCAAAATCTTCGTTGACTACTCCGTATGTATTGTACTATTCTAACTCCAAACCTGTAAACTACAGATTAGCCCAATTTACGAGTCCGTGCTGACAGAAACAGCACATCAGAACATTTGCACTAGACGTCAAACTAGAATATACACGGTGCAGTGGCTGACCCGTGCAGCATGCATGATGATTCATCTTCGGATCGGGATATTCTCTTTTTATTTTTATTTTTATTTTTGCATTTATCGATGACACATTCTTGAGATGAATCATATTGTTTCGTGTTTGGACTCAAATTTTCGCCCAAGCTATAGGCTCATTGGCTCGAGCCATAGATCCGGCCACTTTTACGTTTTGAGTGGCAAAGCGCTCTACTCTATTCCGACCGGCTTGGCAAATTTGCCTGTATCCCGGGAACCTGCAGGTCTTTTTTTATTTTTGCCCCCCAATGGCTTAACTGCCTAACTGGTCTAACTGGCTTAAAAAAAAGATTAGAGGCGGTAACTAAAAGGACAACATGGCTTAGGCTGGGCGCGTCTAACATGCATGAGATAGATCTATTTTTCTCTTATCTTTTCCAATCGGTGAGGGGGACAACTCTATACCGTTAACTTGCAACGTACGGAGTAGATACTTACAACATACTAGTATGTTCTACTCTTTGTACGGAGTATAATATTGCGGATCAAGAATCATGAGGGGCAAATGTAGAACGGAAGATCTTTCCGATTCTCTCTTTTTGAGTCCATTCTGGCCCCTGCTGATGCTCGGAAGCATGCAAGATCATCTCTCTGCCCCGCAGTGGCTGCGATGGAAAATTTTCTACTTCCCTCAATGCCAATCAGATTCCTCAGTGAGGAACAATATTTCCAATATTTCCAGCGCTAACATATTTTCAGTTGAGGCGGATCATTCACCGTTCGGATTTCAATCCTCCACCTGGCCACTTCGATGGCCTTCTAGCTTGCAGTTTTCCCCACTTCTTCCTTCTTTCCATACAGTACGTACAATTTACGTGATTTTCGTGTCAAAACTCGCATTCCAACACAGTAGACGTAGATCAAAGTCCCTACAGTGGCATCTAGATAATGGGTGTGGATACTTGGGTAATTCTATATGTCAAAATGGACTTACGGAAGAAGGAATTGAGTGTAGAGACAATGATCTCACAAATTGGTCTGTATGTCTCAATTTCTTCCGCTCGAAAAGGGGGTTATTTTCTTGTTTTGGCCCCAAAATATGCAACAAAATGGTAAGATCATACGGCTCCGGATATAACACCATTTCCAATAAGAAACTGAAGTAATCTGCTAGATTATATACCACGCTAACCGACCGCACCGTTGATCACCAACAGCGCCAGTTGCCACAAACACACCAAATTCAGCGATCATCAAATTAGACACAAGGCCAAAGCGATACAAAATGGCTCGGGACCATTCTGTGACTTCCAATCGAAGTAGCAAAAAACACACCGGCATCTGCACATTTTTTGTTCAACTCCTCCAGTTTGCGCATAGTCTCCAATGAACTCTCATGAACCTCCGAAGGCCCATAACCTTCAAGCCCCAAGGAAGTAAGGCGTGGCAGACATTTTGAATCCAGCAAGCGTTCGATTTGATCGATAGCCCATTCGAGCAGCTCGTTGTGGCAGTGACACAGATACAAAGTCTCAAGGGACGGCGGCAAAAGCGTTACGAGTTCTTGCGTGGGCTCAAAGTCGTCGTCAAGCCTAGCGAGCATTGAGATGGAAATATGTATATATTTCATCATGTCAAAATCGGCAAACGATCCGATCCATCCATCGTCCTCTTCCGGGGGCTGATACGATTCCCCACAGAGCCAAAATGCCTCCAGTGATGCCTTGTGAAGGGATATGGATTCTCGAAGCGGAGCGGATACAAGATCAGGCCCATCTGAGACTATTCCTCCTCCAATATTCAACCGGAAAGTCTTGAGAGCCTTGCAAGATTCAATCCAGACACCAAATCCACACTCAGTGTTAGTCATCTCGAGATCGATATCCGTGACTCCTGAGAAGGGTGTGATGCGGGGTTCTCCCTCTTCGCGATCGGAGTCGACGATATAAGATCCTCCAATCCTGCGCATCGCCGGGAATTTGAAGAACGGTTCCATGCAGCTTGCATGGATGGAATCTTCCGTGTCACACCACTCGGCGAAAGCTTCAGTGAGGCGAGGAAATGTTGTGGTATCCTCTTTGGCAGCCTTCGCGAACATTTTCTCGACGTGTTCTGACCCATATGGGTAGCACATGCTGATTCGTCTCAAGCCTTTCAGCTGGGGGATAAGCAAAGCTAACCAAGCATCGGTGTTTCCGCGTTGCAGTTGGCTATACGGTTGCGTCGACCAGCAGGTACCAGCGATAAGTCGGTAAATAAGGTCTGGATCATATTCAAATTCACAGTCGATGTCTTCATTGCCATCTTCAGTGTCCCAACTCTCCAAGCGTAAAGATCGCACGGCCCTGGCCAGCTGTGGCCGTCGTGCGATTGCATTGAAAAATTGACTGACTTGGCCAATTGTATGGTTGCTAACATCACCAAGAATAACCTGGGAATAGAGACTCGGTAACAGAACTGTGTACAGCCGACGACATGATAGCACCAGGGAATAGCGATCACCCTGGTAATCCAGGTTTTCTGCTATGAGGTAGAGAGTTTCCTCTGGAAGGTCAAGAAATACAGTCATGATGCAGCTCGCGGGGATTATTTCGAACGCAAAGAGATGGTTAGTTCCATTCAGGTTCGGCGAGGAGGTTGCCGTGTCTGTCCAGGGGCGCTAGGAATCACGAGGTGGGGGCGATATTTCTCTACAACACTTGACAGAAGGCCGAATCACTACCACAGTATATACTATATATGGTTGTTGGTGTTATCAACGGAACAGCGAGCACTAAACACCAACAGAAGGAATGCGGGATATTTGACCGAAGAGGAAACAAGTGGGGTCCGCCAAGAGCAACTATCAAAAGGAAAGCGGTTAACTACATGAAATCCGAGTGTTGTACTCCACAAGGCCGAATGATATTAATTAGATTAAAATAACACAAATCCAAGTGTATTGATGGACACAATAATCCCTGGGGTACGAGGTTCCATTTAACAATCCCTCGATTCTGGGTCACCAACTCAAGCTCCAAGGTTCCGTGGTTGGTTGGGTCAACAACCATGGTTCCCCCATTGAACAAGACCTCGGGATCAACGTGGACATAACTGACAAAAACGGATATCAAGTACCAGGATAAGGAGCAACATTATTAGGTATGGGCTCTGTCTTAGTCCGACCAAACATAGACAAACGTGATTTCGACCGGGTAGGAACTGCCGCCGGCCGAGTACTTTGGGGGTACTTTGTTGTTTTTCGCTCTCCACTTCGGCGGGGCGAGCAGATTCGACAGGAGCGGCGCGGGCCTCCTCTACCTTTCTAACGCCTTCGCGTATTTCATCAGTCGTAGCGCCTGGCGGTGCGGTCGTCGTCAAAGTCTCGGTAGGACGAATTAGACCATCGGAGGTGTCTTGGTTGAGCTTGGAGATCTCTTCTTCCGTCACCAGACGCTCATTCTCCAAACGGACTTCGCGTCCGCGTTTGTGGCAGTACCACAACACAAAGAGGAGGACTGGATAGCGCCACAGTCAGCAAACGGACTCATGCACTTAGTGGGGTGCTTCACTTACTGAACAATGCCAAAGACCAGAGCACATTCATGCCCATAACAGCAGGGAATCGAGCTCTTAGGAAGGTCATAATGGAGCGCAGCATTCCTACGAGAGCAGCTGGCTTCGACACAAGTTCCTTTAGACTTGGAATATTGACCCCCATCTTCTCTGCAGCTGCAGCGGCCTTGCCAACGTTCTCCATGTTGACACCGCTCTTGCTGGCGCGGTCGGCAGCAACGGCCAACATCTCTGGCGCCAATGTCTCGGTCCAACGCTCGGGGAGTTTCTCTATCAACTTTTGCATGGGACCAGGCAGCTTTGTATAGGTTTCTTGTAGTTGGCGATTCCCGTTGGTCAGCAGCATCTCCAAGTCATGATAGGCAGTTGGTACTCCGTTGATCAGATCTTTGAAGATGAGCTTGAATTTGCGTAAAAGCTCTTGTGTCTCCTCACTGATCGAAAACACACGGTTGTTATCCGCTGCCAGGTTCAATCGCTCAAGAATATCTGTCATGTCCTCTGCATCTTTATCTTTGTCTGCGTCTTTCCCGTTTGCTGATGTATCCGATGTGGTTGGACGACTTGCGGCTTCGGTTTGCGATTTGTTTGCATCGAGGGCCTCTTTATCCTATTTGCATGAAGTTGTATGTTAGTACATACACAAGTCAGATGCAAGGATCCGAAAATGAACACGACTAAATAAATGACTGACCTTCTCTGTGCCTTTCTTCCAAAACATGGCACTCCATCGTTTCTTCCTCTGTTGAGGCTTTGAAACTTCCGATTTTGGTGTACCGGACCTTGCCAATGTTGCCTGAGAGTTCTTCCTTTCTTGCCTACCCTCCTCGCCTAGCTCTTTTGCTAGCTCCTCCCCGGGCGAGGTAGGTAGAGGGATGTTTTCAGCTTGTACGCTTGTCGCAGGTTGCAAAGACGCCCCAGCAGGGCTTTCAGTTGGGGTCTGCTCATTCTCCTCTGTTGTGGTGGGCACAGATTCCGGCTGGGCGGTGACTTCGCGTAAGTAGGCTTCATCTTCCGGTGTTAGGACAGGCTTGGGTGCACTGGTTATTTGCGACGAACGCCGTAGGTTCTTTATTTGGTTGAGATATTGCATGGCCATAATGGAGGTATTCGTTGTACGAATGATGACAATATGAGAGGTTGTTTTGTGTTTCTCGATGGGAAATAGACGATAGGAAAAAGTAAGCCGAACCAGGACGGGCGCGTACTGAAGGTAAGGGGACGCGCGCGCTATAAAGTTGAGTGATAGATCAACTTTCCTAAGCGGTTAGGTGATATGTCAGATAGGTGATAATTCGATGATCAGAAGATCTCGCAGCTCACCAAGTTGCACGCTACCACCAAGCTTTTGTTTCGCTCACATGCAGGCTCGAGCCTGTTCCTCGTGATGATATCACCAGTGGCTTGGCAACCCCGCATGTGCCACCGCATCACTAGCACCGCCACATGTTCCTATCTATGGGCTTGGCTTGCATATCCTCGATCATTTGAATGAAGACAAGACCCTCATTCGTTGGTTAATTCTCCTCCACTTGTGCATCCGTTTTTTGAAGTCTTTCATTGTGTGTATCTCTTGTTTACTGAGTAAGGCGTTGTTATTTATACATTCACTTCTGTAACTTTTAAGTGTACTTTTGATGAAATACACCAATGTAAACGCTGTTCGTTTTACTATATCATGCTCATGTTTTAGAAATTGGATGCCTGGATGCTACTATCTAGGGACAGACGATTGAACTCAAGGCGTGAATGATGGATCTGCCGCTTCAAAAGATCGCATCACTGCCATTGTGACTACTGGGTACCCCATGATCACATCGTGCAATCCAGTTTTCAAGATCTCTTCGCGAATAGTCCCATTCTCCGTTTTCCATTCCATCATGGATCCAGCAGCTCCAAGGTCTGTTTTCGAATCGAGCTTCTTTTGTTCAAGGTCGTCATAGCTGATCCCCACTGGCATCGAGGCATTAACCGCGTGCCAAAACACAAGTTGAGAATGGTGCCATGGAATGTCATAGTCATCCTCGGCATGGATTATTGTGATCCTGTATTTCTCTCCATTCCTCTCATTAGACTGAATGTATTGCGCAATATTATCCTTGCTCAACCATTTGTCCCGAATGAACCGTTGAAGGTATTTGAAGAGAAAAGGGAACCTGGCAACCGGCGATAGGATTGGGACGGTACCCGCGACTCGATAGGTTGAAACCAATGTTGCGACGTCTACAAATGGTGCAACCAGCACCGTGCCTGCCAAGACTATTGGTGGATTCTGCACAGCAAGATGTTTGGACACAGCAATGCTCACAGCCGTGCCCATAGATTGACCAAATATCAAAATTCGAGATGGAGGGATGCCTGCGACATTCATTGCCCAGTCCACCACGGCGAGGGCATCGGTGATGAGCCCGGTTTCAGATGGTGTCCCGGTACTCTTGCCGAATCCTCGGTAATCAAATGTGAGAACATGGATTTTCCTAGGATTTCCCGCCGACAGCGCACGGTAATTTGGGACCCGATAGCCCGAGGCGACGGTTCCTCCAGCACCGTGCATGTGAAGAATTAAACGAGCCTCGGGGTCCTCTCGTAATAGTTGAAATCCCAGTCGAGACTTGATATCGGATACAAAGCCTACTGGCTCTTTGACAAGAGACATTTGGTGCTTGCGATATAATTCCACGGGAAGAATATGCCAAGCGTGTAGGAATTCACCGTCCGTCGTTCTGATGGAGAACGGAGTGACCTGATTTCTCAGGAACCCAAAAGTTTCGGGGACATTGAGATCCTTGAACCATGTCATCTGAATTGCGTGCAGATAAACGACATGTGATTGGAAGGTTGATGTGGTGAGCAACCCTAGGAGGATCGCATATAACCCAACTGCAATAGCGACCGGTATTGATGCATATTTGAAGAAAGAACCGGCTATCTCACTAGCTGTCATGATGGCTAACAATGGAATGGGAATCTCATACAGGAATGAAGGAAATGCGAGGAGAATCTTCAACGCTGACGGTCGACCTGGTGCAGCACACTAAAGGAGTGGGGCGGGCTAACCCGTCTGGGGTCTACATACTTCCCCCACTAAATGTCGCTTGTTGGTGAAAATCCTCCTTCAGGCTATAAATAATACCCTTTTTCTTGGGATTATAAATATAAGCATTTGTTTCAATGGCTTCTAAACGCCCACTCTTCCTGGCTGGTCTGTTCGGCCTCATCGCCCTGGAATGAGATCAGCCATGTGCAGCTGATCCTAGCGGCTATTGGAGTGAGTTGATTGGATATAAGACGTGTGCGCACATCGCTACATTAGGATCCGGCGCCTACGGAGTGCATCCCTCCTGAATATGATTTGTCTCCGCCGAAAATCACATTCTAAAAAAAGAAAAGAAAACATACTGTCGATTCTACAACGCCAGCTGAAATACAGTACAAACAATGGCTTTCTCACAAAATTATCAAGCAATGTGCCCTATGTAGTCGCAGAGATCGTATATAACCCACCCAGAGATTCTCACAAAAAGGGCAACCAGTAGACTGAGTACTCGTAGGTATCGTAAATAGCGGGGTCTGCCGCTCTTAGTGCAGCAAATACCTCTGCTATCATCACAATGCGACTAAGAAGATAGAATACCGGGGACGAGAGACTGAAAAGTGTCAAGATGCCATCCCACCGGAGGACAACCTTCTCAAAGTGCATAAATATAAGCATCGACACGATTGAAACAAAGGCGGATACACGCCAGAGCCACAACTCAACGATCGAAGGGAACATGGTATTCCAAGATACGAGGTGAAGGGCGCCGAATGAAATACCGAACAGACACGCCAAAGGCCAGATTCTTGACCTATATAGATCGGGATCCCAATGGGACACAACGATATCTTTCCGGGACTCATGTGGATCTTCGAGATCTCGTATCTCGCTTCCGTTGATTGTCGGTTCGTGTGGTTGTTCAGTGATTGGATTCTGATCTGGGCGCTTCAGAGCTTTTGTTTGAGCCTCCTGCACGAGTTTGTCCGCTTCTACCTTCTCAAATACCCGCGGGGTGAGATACCATATACTCCAATATGATGTTTGCTCTTTCATCCCCTCATTGTCAAATTTATTACTCACAGCCAACGACTGAAAGAAGTGGAATTGCTCCAGGCTCATTCCTGGGAGTACAACAAGAGATGGGGATCTGATATCCTTGGGCTTGTTCCACCAAAAGAAGTATGTCACGATAAACAATGGGATATACCCCAGGGTCATCGACTCCAACTGCGAAAGTGGGAGATGATAGGAGATACGCAATATGCATTGTGCTGAGAACCAAGTCACTTGGATCAAAGCCAGTAGTTTTGCAGCACTATCAGATTTGCTCTTGTCGCAGATGTCATCGAGAGACAGACCCCAACTCGGGTGGTCTTCCCACCGAATGAGGTTTTGCTGTAGTAGCCATGTATATTGGTTCGGCCAAATAACACGATCGCCATTCGGTGTTTGGTACCTCAACGCGAGCATACTGACGTAGAAGGCATGCACGAGTTTGAATTGACCCGCTGTGGAATCGGCACATTCTCTTTGCATCCTGCGGCACTGTGCCCATTCCTGGAGTCCTTCCACCGCAATAAACTCCGGTGCGAAGATTGTCTTCAGAAAAAGTGCGAACTTATGGAGATTTGCGTAGGATTCGCGCTTGTAGACTCGGGGATGAATCACGACCCAGGTGCACATAAATATTGTGGCCAGACATGTTGTGATCAAACTTATTGTACCACGACCGGGGTTGTCCCAGATCCATCCGACCAATTCCTTATGTTTTGAAGGGCCAATACTGCAGTTTGAGCATGTTTGGTTGCTCATAGAGGCGTTCGGTTAATTGGAAGCAGGCGCGTGCTGCTGGCGATTTGATTTGAGTTAGGGGACGACATGAAATGATAAGTTGAATACGAGAGGAAAACCCAACAGTTGTGCTTCTAGACTACTACGTACATCATTAACAGATATATCCCACAATCTAAATAAGCGCTGGATATTGCTGCATGGCTAGTTTCGACAACGTGTTCATGTTACAGATATCCCTGGGCAAGGTAAGGCTGATGCCCAAAGCTTGCAGGGGTAAACCGATTTAGATATTATTAATGGAGCAGCACATTTCTAATTGGTAAGTGAGTAAGTTCAGTGGAGATAAAAGGAAAATGTGAGAGGAAAATGGGGAATTAGTTGTCATTCGCACTAATAACAGCTTACCTATAGCCGCCACTATATTAGGGCCGTTTATCTTTGCAAGGATCATATCAACTCCAGTGACGCTATGGACATTATCTTGTTCGAAATTTTAAAAAAAATTCAATCTACTCGGATATATGTCTCTTTGGCGATCACATACTCCAAATCGTTGGAAAATTATTGTGGAAAGAGAATGAAAGCATCGACAATGCGATCGAGGTTCCTAGAAGTTCGTCAATAACAACAATAATATTAGGCGCTAAAAGAAAGGATTCCAAAAGGACAGAATGCACTGTTGTTACTCTTTGCTTTTACTCCATACAACGATCTAGAAAGTCTTTGGCTTGAAGTCAATATAGATCTATGCATTAAGGGTGGCCATGTCGTGATCCATCCACACCTACGTAGGTACTAGAAAAAAATATATATCAGAATCATGCAGCTAGTCATTTCTTTGCTAGTAGCTCTTGGGTCGATCTTCTTTTCAAATGACCTATCACTTCTAATTTTGAATTCCTTTCCCTTTCGAGATGAAACATGCTTGATAACCATTTCCCTTGGGTCCGGATCGAGATTTTGCGACAAATAATCGATCAGTTCTGATCAAGATGCGTATTGCCATGTCAGAAAAGCAAAGAGATGGTAAGATGATATATTTTCTAAAATAAGTGCTGCCTAAGTATGTAGTCACGGGCTGAAATATGCCTTTGCTGTTGTGTTGTGTAGATACACTTATGGGCATGAGAGATTCTTTGCTAGTGCCTCAAGGACGAAAGGAGCTTATATCCCCCCACAGCCTCTGCTGGAATTCCAGAGTGAGTGATCTTACCGTCTACCGTCATCCATATCCATAACAACAATTTGGTCGTTTTCCACGGCTGTCT